CAAACCGTGTAGATGAAAGGCCATGTCATAGCAATTGTAAAGTGAAACAATTTGATATTAAAAAAAAATCGTGTAGGTATAAAAAAGGTGTAGGAGTTGAAAACCAATATTGGATAAAAATAACTATTCATTTAGAAGAATTCCTTACGACCATAGAAACACATTTTATATATTTTATGGTAAATAAATATTAAATGATTTTGCGCATTATTAATGTTTCATTTTATTTAGTTTAGAGATTATAAAAGGAGTGGTTAATGGCTAATACAATGGTCTCTGCGGTTTCACTACATTGTGCCTTTAACATTTTCAAATAAACTTAAGTTACTTAAACTACATACAAGCAATTACGTTAAACACTGAATTTAAAAAAAATTAAAAAATAACGAAATAGTAAACTATTCTGAAACTACAAATAATTCAGAATATATGTGAAGGTGATTATAGATAGAAAATTGTACATTTGAGGTTCAAGTGGTTCGCTGCTCAATCACCTCAAAACAATGTAGATCGCAAGATTTTGCTTTTAAGCAGCACTTAAAACATAAAATATGTTTTATAAACACTCAAATATATATATATATATATATGTCAATAGTATTGGTTTGTTCAACAATGGCCATACTGTTCACTTATTATCCAAAGAGAGTTAAAGACTAAAACATGTCAAAATAGGTTTTAATTGAATTTAACATTTTCAGCCATTGATATATGATATATCACAGCATAGTACCACAGCAGTTCGGATATGGACATGTACATATAGTGCAAATATGTATGCTTTACATATGTATGGATATCATACAGACCCAAAGGCTTGACGCTCATCTAAAATTAATTTAATATGCATGAATTTTACAAAATTTAGAGCTCATGTCGTAGTACTAAGATTACCTTTGGTGTAAATGCAAGATAAAAACTTAGCTAATAGACTTGTTTTAGTCTGTGATGTATTAAGAAAGAATTGATTGAATTTACGGTTGGTAAGTAATGCCTTTGGTCTCACAATTTTATTTGTGATTTGAATATGATCATAGGTATGTATTTTTTTCACGATAATTACAGCACAACAAATGACGACAATTCGGCTAAGGTGCACCTATCCAATTTTAGTTTACAAACTCATTAAGGGGGGAATGGGGAAATTAGATATGAAAATACCGAAAAAATTTCAAAGTCAGTGACTAAATTTAATGGCCAATGAAGAAGTAGATATTTTGTGCATGAATAATGCACTTGAGTATCGAAAAAAAATTGTTATTTTAGGAAACTTGTTAAAAAAATACTTCAGAAAAGGTTTTTAAAATAAGCTTTGCAACAGCCAAAGACTGATGTATTGGGAGGTATTTATTTAGAAGATATCGCTTCGGCGTATATTTTTGAGTTTTTGAACTAGAATAATAATTAAATTGATTTTATAATTAATAATAATAATATAAATTTCTCATACAAGATTTGTAGAGATCTGTAAGTCGTTGGTACGTTCGTAGAAATATCTTGGTAGTTATGGTATCATTGCTGATGGTTTACTACTCCCGATTGAGGGCATTGAATATAACTATTGTGGGTTGTGGTAACTATTGTGGTATTGTGTGTTGTTCAGTGAATGTGCCACGTCAATTAAACATCTCAAAGATTTACTTTCTGAATGGTTGAAGTCAATTTTCAAGCAAAACTTTCTATTTTAGCTACGAGTATATTGTAAACGGAATAGTTAAGTTATGTTTTGCTGTTACAAAAATGGAATATCTTATTAAATGACGAAAATAATTTCAAAAACCCGTTTAGGTGCTTTAAGGTAAATAGGTACTTTTTCAATTCCAAATAATAAATTTGAGGAATTACAATTAGAAGAGTGCTTACGAACGTGAAAAAAATTATTACCACATCTTCCAAGAGTAGATGCAAATGTGATTTGCGGTAATAAAGCTTAATATTAATATTTATTAGCAATAAAATTGCATATTAATTTCATATATTGGTTTTAAAATAATTATTATTTAAGTATGCAAATTAAAATAAATGTTTAATGTTCAAAATAAATGCATTTCTGTACTCATTCAGAGCTAAATTTGATGTCAACAATATTTTAAATTTCATCTCTTCATTCTTATTAATAAATATAATAAATAAATAAATATTGATGAGTTTTTTGTGACTTATTTTTGCATTTCTGTTCAAAAATAAAATTATTTTTAAAAACATTATTTTATTTTTAATATTTAACAAATATGGTAACAAGAGAGAATTTTTTTTGTTATTGTTTTCTTATACAAAATTTTTGTGTATTTTTTTATGCATAAATTTATTAAAAATTCCTTGCTAATAAAAACGTTCCGAGTAAAAATACTACAGGTGTATATAAGTTTAGATAAATATGTATGTTGAGATATATTCACAGAGATACCTTTCCGCTATTTGCTTTTCGCAACCGAAATAAGGAAAATCTGATTTTGTAGAATGAAAAATTTTCGCGAACGTAGTCGTACTCACATGCATACGACATCGTGTGCTTGTAAGTTGATTTCGATGCGTAGGTGACTGAAGCTGAAGATAGAAATTCTGTAGTACTACAAATAGATCAGTCACGCTCAACACAGCACTGTGAGGTACATAGATTGTATAGAAGAATTTCAGCGGATACTGAAGTGCTCTTGTACAATCTTGTACAATTCCGTACGAATCCGTACGATTCTGTAAATGAGTAGAGATGAGCATAGATGTACTGTGCATTGGAGGATTCCAAAAATAACTAATAATTTTGGTATATTTACATAGACGTTGTTAGTATATCTGTGACCAAGTATGTATCGGTGTGTATGTTAGATAGAAATTACTTTAAGTAGTCGTACTGTAGGTATACATACATATATTTAAATTATTTCTAGTGTTTGTTGATTTTATACAAATGTACACATGTGCTCAATAAAAATGAAAACTTTAAAAAATTTTGCAGTCAACGGATAGATACAGATACAGATACCGGAACAGTTTTATTTACAAAACAGTTTTTAAACTTAAAATATCTATCTGTCTATGTACACTTATAGTTCTACGAACTAAAACATTGTATTCAATAGTATTATTAGTGGAGATAACATATGAGAAAAAAAATTTGTTTTTTGTTATTTAGACTTCAAATACTATATGAAATCTAAGAGAGATGCCGAGAAGTTAATGAAATCATAAATTTCCAAAAATTTTTTTTGTTTTTTATTAAGAGTTCTTGTATTAATTTATTGTTTATTAATTTATATATATATATTATTTCAGTAAATACTATAATCTATTGAAATTATTTATGAAAAATTATTTTTATGTACATAACTTAAAGGCCTTATTAAACCAGCGAAGTAATTACACTCAAACTTCTATAACTCGAAATTCTAAACGCAAGGGGAAAGTAATGAGAAGGGTTTGGTAGATGAAGTTATTCGTCAGCCTTTCAAGAATGAAGTAAAAGACTCATTCAAAATTCTGAATTTTTATTTACAAACGAATGATACTCCGTCTCCAGAAGTCGAACCTTTTCTTTGCAAAATGGTACTTCGAGTTATGGAAGTTTGACTGTATACATATAATTAATATAGATATCAGCATCTTTAAGGAATATATTATAACTTCAATGAAGTTATTACAGATCAATTTTAGAAATCATAATATCAAAGGATATATATGCGCAAACATGTTAACTGTGATGGTCATGAATAAAATTTACTTAAGATCACTAACTAAATACAACTTGATTTTCTATTATAAAGCTCACATGTTCTTTTAATACAAAATATATATCATAAAGACCTTAAATTTTATTTAAAAACATGTAGGCTGAAATTTTAACTGAAATATTAATCAAAATATGCAAATGCGAGATAATGCAAGTATTAGCAGAGGGTCCCGAAATTTAAATTCCAAAGATTAATGCCTTTTATATCAAGATTATGTGATATAGATGCGAAAAAAGGAATCCATACCTGTGTGTTCGTAATGAGGACTTTGAAAAACTGAATACTATGCATCTAATAATTGTTACTAATACTTAATCAATTTTAAAATTAAAAATTACAAGTACCAGCTTATTTTTTTTCCTTATAAATGCCTTCTGTTACACACACAAATTTAACTATTTTCACTACAGCTCTCAAAATTATCATAAGACGGACGTTACAGTAAAAAAATCTTATAAAATAGCTTATCAAGAAGTACAACATAGGAAAAAATAGTTTGTAAAGATATCAAATCTAAAGTTCAAATTTATTTGTTAATATTCTTTGAATGAATGAAAGAAAACTTTTCTGGTAACAGTACATTTACATTTAGTAATAATAGTGAGTGATTATTCACTGCCCTCTGTAGTATAAAAAATTACTATAAAAACCACCTGATTTTTTAAATGAGTAGCTATTCTGTTACTATTGAAATATAGTTCTTTCTCAATACTATATATATTACTGTTTGAAATATTTTGAATTTACCAAGACACAACTATAACAATATTGTTAAAAACTCGACGTCCTATATAATGTTTTTAATGAATATTATAGTAAAGAACGCCAATTGCTAGGTCCACATTTTTGTTTCATCATTATTTTAATGGCACGGTTATCTAGCCTGCTGAAAAGCTCATATAACTTTCACATAACTGAGTATAAATATATCACAACAATATGACATTTATAATAGCACACTCGCTTAAAGTACTTATCTTTAATAGAAGTAACCAATCCGCTCCTCTTGTCTTATGGTCATCAAATAGATTTGAAGCAAAACTGTCAAAGAGACTTTTTTGTGTTTATAGTAATTACAATCGCAGATCCAATAGCAAATACTATACGTATTATCACTTTTTGTCTATTAGAGACTATGGCTTATTTTCTTCAAATCTTCACAAACAAACCTCCACAATTTCTTGCTATCTATTTTAATGCGGACTAGATTATTTAAATTCACTTCACAACTAAAAACGTAGAATTTATAATTAATACTATTTTTGTACTCACCTTCACTAACCACAATCTTTCCCGTTATCCATACTCTGTAGCTGACACAGCTCCTCAGGTTGCTAGCTCCTCAAGTGAAGCCTATTAACCTCTTCGTTCTGAACTTGATTACTGGAATTGCATTTTAGTTATTAGCTAGTGAAAGTTGAGGGCTCACATGGAAATATATTTGAATATTATTTGAAGAAACTGAACTAAACGAAAAAAGCAGCTATAAAAATTTTTGTGAAAATGATTAAAAAGGTCAAGGCTGACAAACAAACATTGAAGCACTAAATGAACATTTGAGCAAAGTCACGGTTCCATTTGAATTCTTCATTTCTCTTTGAGGATTATTAAGTGACTTCAATCCTTAAAGTAATTAAAATAGTAAAAAATGTATATTAAAATTTTCTCTGTTAAAACCCTTCTTAGTTGGCAAATTTGTTACTATTTCACCTCGATTATTGCTTGTATTTTTCACCTCGATTATTGACATTTATTACATTTTTGTATCTCAACATTAATGGGAAACTTCTTCTGGCGAATGAATGACGCCTACGCAATCGAAGCAATTGAACGAATGTTAGCAGAGCTAATAACGATTAAATTTTACTTGTTTTTGGCATAATTTTAATTATGTCAGTTGTCATTAATTAGCAGCTCGCACAAAAAAATTTATTTATAAAATTATTATTTTCATACGAGTATGAAAAACATACAATATTTCACGTTACTCGTATCTCAGCCCAGCTCATCGCTCAAAATTGTTTGTATATTTTTAATATTTTTGGCACATTAAATAAATTAAAAATAATTACAGCAAATCTAAAGGCAACGTACAGCAACAATATTTCTCCCAAATACAATATCAACAGCAACAGCAACAGCAACATCAACACATCATAATTTTGTTTTCATTTTTTGAGCACTCATTAATATTCGCTCGTACGGATCGTACAGATTATACAGATTGTTCAGATTGTACAGATTGTACAGATTATACAGATTCATTGTACGAGTATCCGTATTTGATGTGCTAATATTTGCAGTACAAGATTTATAAAAAGTTACATGACGAAAGGTGAATGCATCCTTAAAAGGTGCGTTGTTTGCTGCTCGTACCACTAAAAAATTTGCATTGTGCTTTTTCTAAACACCGAGCATTTTTGCGCTGCTCGCTGTGAGGTATAGGAGCAGGCACTGCACTTTTTAGCATCATTAAAAATATAATGAAATGATAAAAATTTTTGACATCTTTTTGTTTAAAAATAAAAATATTTTTAAATCAAATTTATAAAACATTTTCAATGCTTTGAAAATGTTTGTCCCATAGTTTCTTTGAATCACTAATTTTTTTTTTGATTTTATGAGTCATTTTAAATATTTTTCTTCTTTCGAGAAAAAGGAAAAGTTTGGTTGATGCTTTTTCTTTGCATGATTTGTTGTGGCACCTTTTTGAAATGAATTTTCACCATATATGTACCCTAACAGAAGCGATTTACCACAACCAGAATGTAGATACTCAGACACAATTTTTCACTGCCTTCTCAGTGTCCATCATCGCGAGATCCATGGAGATGCGTTTCTAAAACGAACACTATCACTTGTGTTACATTCATATAAAATAGACTCGTCGTAGCGCTGTTATGTCAGATTTTTTAGTAAAAGAAATTTAGCTTGAACAAAGGTTGTAGTTCATGGATTATGGTAGAAGATTTAAATGAGTCGTATTATGTATATTCAAAATCTCTTTTTCGTTTTGGTTTATATAAATGTTTAAAGGAAATTGAAATATATGATAGAATAAGGAATGGAAAAATGAATTGAACCTGGGTGTAGTACGTATGTAGTTAATATTGCAACACATGAAGTTAAGTTATAATGTATAATTGAGTCGCAGGGTATAACAGGATATAAGACGCGATCCTCTAACAACCGCTGCCAGTTTATTCATAGAGTACTTAAATTTCGTAAAGCGTAGAATAATTCTGTTAATTACATCTATGAACATTTTCATAGTAACTATAAGTAAAACTGTCAATACCTTCTGGTTACATCAGAAACACTGTTGAGCTAACATCACAAGCATGTCCTGAAAAAGATGGCAGGTTTTTTATGCAAAGTCAAAATCAAGAGGTTAAAAGTCAATCTTCGTATAACTATTTTTCTTGTATTAAATATTCATAGGTTATCTATAAAACAAATTTTGAGAAATTATGAGCCTTCATTGAGATGAAAATTCGTTTAAATTCCAGTAATCCAGAGACAGAGAGGATCTGTCTCTTGCTTTATCTCTGGCTACGCTGCTGATGTCTTGCGATATAAAGGTTTGAAGTATTGGTTGGGATAGTATTCTGTTTTCTAACTAAAATATTAATTAAAATATGTAAAATTGATTACTTAAGTATTAGCAGTGGATTTCGAATTTGAATTACAATGACGAATGTCTTTCATCTATATTATGATTGCATGATATGTAAATGGATGGTTGCGTTAAATTTGTGTTATTACTTGATATATAAAGTTTAAATTGTTTACGCCCCACTAGATTTATATGGCAACACAATGGGCTAAGAAACCTTAGTGGATTTTAATAATACCTGTAACAACCATAAACTAATCGTAATAGAATTAGTAAATTATACTGCAACAGCATCCTTCTGCGTGACATATAGTTCAAGACAACTCAATAGTGCAATAGTTTAAGTTTAGTGTTTTAGGATATATAACACTATTAGAATTTTACGACACACTTCAATTAATACAACATATTACTTGAACTTTAAATCTCTTATACAACAGAGCTGGCTATATACATTTTTAACGAAAGTCAAGGCATTTGATATTCTGATATTCTGATATTCATCAACCGATTCAAGTTCTGATCGTATAACTGTTAGATTATATATTTTTCTTTAAAAATATATTTGTAAAAAAAACAACATTTGAACAATACCAATTCAGGTGCGGCAGCAGAAACTAAATCTGTTGGTAATTATGACATGCAATATAAAATTGCAACTGACTAAATAATGTATGTATTTCAATATATGAATATGTGTGTAACAATATATGTTTTTTTTACAATATAGAATTAGAAATGTTCAAATTGACGCAACAAGTTTGCAAATAAAAGAAAAAATACTAATTGAATATTTTTATTTTAATTTTCTTTTAACTGATAAATAAGAACAAAATTCTATTAAATGAAATAATTTGTTTATTCTAATTTTTATTTTATATATATATATTTTCAAACTTTTTTCATACATGATGTGAAATTTTTCATCCATCCATGTATGGGATGGTATGGTCTTTTGGATGATAAATACAAAAAAAAACAAAAACAAGTAGAAAAAACAATTATAAAATCATTTCTCTCAAAGCAATACCAACACAAAATTGAAGAGCACAATTTTCTTTTTTCTTCTTTTTATTTGGAAAATGGATAAATAAATATTCTCCTTTCAAATCATATTTTTGTGGTGTGCCTATTTTTCATCTCGAGTGCAAGAGAAGTTTGTATACACATGAATGATATTCTTCAGATATGAAGCGCTACACAGTGCAGGACGTCTATTAAACAGGCGATTAAAATTGTGTTATTTTATATTATTTTTACAGAAATTATATTTATTTATTATTATTATATGTAATTATGGCAGGCCCGAATATAAAATGTATTTCAACTTGTATAAGTATGGGGTTCTAGCTCACCTCTTCAACCAGCACTTTCCTAATATTGTCAGTCTTCTTATTCGGTCCACTGTACCTAATACTACCAATTCCTTTACACAAAAATCTTTTGAGTAGTTAACAGTTTGTCCGGATAGAGGCGAAAAGTGAGATAATAAGTGTTCAATATTTCAAAAGTCTCTAACGGGAGCACTCAATTTAATTGTTTCTATACTTATCAAACAATATTATCTAACATAATGATAAAATTATTGTTAAACAAAATAGAGTGTTAACTCTTTTCTGACATATTTTTTATATTTTAGATTTGCCTCGGTATTTGAATGGTTTTTTCCATTTGTTATGTTATTTCTATTTGTCCATTATTTCTATTTGGCGTTAGAAATAATGGACTTAACAAAACTTATAGGTTTTATTTTTAAGATCAGATAGTTAACTAGTGGTGATTGAGAAGTCACATTTTGTATGTGAATCCGTCATTTTCTTATGTATTACCCAACGAAACTCTGCTTATCATAAATGGGTTCACATGTAGGTTTGGTTGCAAAATTTTTCAACAGCTTTTTGCTTGCAATAAAAGCTGGTTTATAATTGAATTGAAATTAATTCATTAAACCTGAATTTGGTTGCCGTATAACTGTTGTACTTTGAAAGCATTTAACTACTCTCAGTATTAATTCAATTAAAGGTTCTTATGCTAATATTGGTTTTATTATATAACTATTGTAACTTTGTTTTCGAAATGGTAGAAGTAACATTCTCTCTTCATTTTTTGTAAATATCATACTGCTGTGTAGCATATATAATGGATCACTAGTGCATCTTAAGAAATTGACTGTATTATAATTTCGACTAATTTCATAGAGTGAAGAGATGAGAATTCGGCCCCCTCATAAGATGCACAACTTATGCTTACATTACATACCATCACTAGACTAATATATGAATATTTTTCATATATGTGTTGGTAATTTTTAAAGTTTCGGAGGTGTTCAAGAACTAAATTCCTACCGCAGGTATAAATATTAGAACACGGACATCCAGCTAGCACTCGCAGTTCTATAGCGAAAGTGGAAAGTGTTGATTAATATTGTGATATTTTGTTTTGAACGATAAACGGTTAGTAAACTCTCAACAAATCTGTGTTAAAATTATATCCTTAATAAATACAATTGGATGTGAAACACAAAACTTTATTTTATTTAAAAGAACAGAATTACAATTTTGAGATCTTGAACTTTTTGTGGATTAAAAGCAATAAATTTTATTAAAGAAGTGTATTTTTGTTCTGATAAAAAATGATTAACTAATTTAATATGGAGTCTTAATATAAAAACTCTAAGAATATTTGAGTTCCAAACCTTTCAATTTTAAAATTTAAATAATTTTTTTTGTTGATTTTTCAAATGCTTTCTTGGTCTTCTGTGTCTTATAATACATACATAAACTGTATATGGAAACAATTATTTTTAGAAATGCTAAATGGAATATACTGTTCAGCAGAATTACAAATATAGACATTCACCCATTTAGCTCTGCTTTTTAAACAGAGCAAATGAAATTCTGAATATGAGAGATGAAAAACAGATCCAAATGCATGGATATAAAATTATACAATATACGTGTGAACACAATATGGTATATATATTTTTAGTATCTATAATACAATCCAGTAAAATTTCGAAGAATGTGCTTCAGCTTTTCAACAAGTATTTTCAATTTTGTATCCAAAAAAATTGTTCAGTTAAAATAGCTTTACATATATGATAACTGACTGATATTATATCATTAATGACTATAATAGACATATTCAGTTTCATACATTATATTCATATATTAAAATAAGCTTAGTCTAAATCCATAAGCACGAATTAGTTTTCATATAGAAAATAATTAACAATGAAGATCCTATGGCCGAGATAGTCTCCGACATGTTTGCTCTATGAAAAGTTAAATTAAAACACTATAGTCTATTAAATGGGGTTTGATGCTGTTATGTAAATAATTCGCCAAAAAGCATAGAATTGCACATAAAATCATCATCTTCAAAGATCTTCATAATAATGTTTTGTTTACGATTCAAACATCTGCATAATATTTTCTGTTAATATTGCTAATGTTATGTCATGCACACCCACATAGTATGAAATGGCGCCAAAACCACTATTTGGATAGTTTCCAGGTGCACAGAGCGTTTACACCAGCCCACTCAATAATTTCTCACGGTGGCTATATTTTCAATTCTACTTCTCCTACCTTTTTTAAATTTTTTCTCTCTCCTAATTAATAAAATGTATTAATTAAATTTTCATTCTCTTTTGTTGCAGTAAAAACACAAAAAAACCAAAATGTGTGATGATGAGGTTGCTGCTTTAGTCGTTGACAATGGTTCCGGCATGTGCAAGGCTGGTTTCGCTGGTGATGATGCACCACGTGCTGTCTTCCCCTCAATTGTTGGTCGTCCCCGCCATCAAGGTGTCATGGTTGGTATGGGTCAAAAGGATTCCTATGTCGGTGATGAAGCCCAAAGCAAACGTGGTATTCTCACTTTGAAATATCCAATTGAACATGGTATTATCACCAACTGGGATGATATGGAGAAAATCTGGCATCACACTTTCTACAACGAATTGCGTGTCGCCCCAGAAGAGCATCCAGTGCTTTTAACTGAGGCCCCATTGAATCCAAAGGCTAATCGTGAAAAGATGACACAAATTATGTTTGAAACTTTCAACACACCAGCCATGTATGTAGCTATTCAGGCTGTGCTCTCATTGTACGCCTCTGGTCGTACCACTGGTATTGTATTGGATTCAGGTGATGGTGTTTCCCACACAGTGCCCATTTATGAAGGTTATGCTTTACCTCACGCTATTCTCCGTTTGGATTTGGCTGGTCGTGATTTAACTGACTACCTCATGAAGATCTTGACTGAACGTGGTTATTCCTTCACAACCACAGCTGAACGTGAAATTGTTCGTGATATTAAGGAAAAATTGTGCTATGTTGCTTTGGACTTTGAACAGGAAATGGCAACTGCTGCTGCATCAACCTCTTTGGAAAAATCATATGAACTTCCTGATGGTCAAGTTATCACCATCGGTAACGAACGTTTCCGCTGCCCTGAATCACTCTTCCAACCATCCTTCTTGGGTATGGAATCTTGTGGTATTCACGAAACAGTATACAACTCAATTATGAAGTGCGATGTCGATATCCGTAAGGATTTGTATGCCAACATTGTTATGTCTGGTGGCACCACCATGTACCCAGGTATTGCTGATCGTATGCAAAAGGAAATCACTGCCTTGGCTCCATCAACCATTAAAATTAAGATCATTGCTCCACCAGAACGTAAATACTCAGTATGGATCGGCGGCTCTATCTTGGCTTCCCTCTCTACCTTCCAGCAAATGTGGATTTCAAAACAAGAATACGACGAATCCGGTCCAGGCATTGTCCACCGCAAGTGCTTCTAAGCATGAAATGCATTCAGTGCATCATCAGCCTGCCAAATATTCAAGTGCTATGTTGTACCACTACTATTTTACTATTATAACTTTAATTATTATTTATACACTTTTTTTTAATAAGAAATTATATTTAAAATTTATTTAATAACAAAACCATAAAGAACTCAAACTTAATTAAAATTATTTTATTATTTTTTAAAATTAATATTTTTATTAATTTTATCCTAGAATTATAATGCCAAAGAAAAGATATCCTAAAATATGAAGAATAAGAAACTTTTTCAAAATATATACAATAAATGTCCTTTTAAAGTACTTTACAGTGTTTTATTCACTATTATGAACGTCATAAATTAAGATGCGATAAAAAATTTTTGCAAATATGAATACATCTCCGAAATCCAGTGAGTACATGTAAGGCTGTTAGAGATTATACGACAACAAAGTGAACTCCATATGTGTTACCGTAACACTGAAACAGAGCTCACACACCAACATAAAAACAGAATATTTGAACACTGCCGACACCCCATATTTGTTTACAGTAGGGACGAAATAGTTCTAGCTTAGACATATAACCAAATGTAGTCTATATATAGGTATTGTACAATATCGTCTTAGTCTTATAATTAACTTTCTCCTTTCTTTCTTCACTTAAGGTCACACATTAACACTTGTGATCAGAATGGTGACAACAGGAATATTGCTTTTTACGGATTTTATAGGACCTATATAATACATATTACTTAAAAGCAAGGATTTACTTAGTGAAATCTTACGGCATAGATTTTTATAGTAATCTTCCAATGCTTCTTTTATTTTTTCGCGTGAATCTGAAATACAGGAGTAAACCCGTTATTATAATCTAAGTATCGAAGCGGCTGCTAATGTTGCCTCATATGTTCAAACTGCCTACTTTTAATGTGCTTGCCTACTCACATTGATAATCATATAAATATTTGTACAGAAGTCAATAACCTTTTATTTTAAAGTCATACGTGTACCATAATCTAAATAAAACTTAAGTTCTCTGCATAATGAGTAATCATTATATTGCTCCCATAATTACAGGATTTCATTATTCTTAAGCAACAAACTATAGACCCAGCTTTCAGATTAACATTTTAATGTGTCGTACGTAAAACTGGATCCTATCAGATATCTATTGATATTAGTATTCATTTACATATCAACGGGAATAAATGAATAAATAATAAATTATTATAGAAGCAAGTTCCTCATTATCCACTTAAATCAAGAAAATTGTGTAGTTTAAAGAAACTCCTTACTTTTTTACTTATACAAACCACCCTAAAATAGCAAGACTCCCCCTTCTATTATTAAAATTCAGTATTTACAATTTTAAAAATTTATTTGCTGTATATATTATATATAATATATGTCATTCAAAAAACAGATAAAATATCTTAGGATATATGATAAAAAATAATACTTAGAAGGGAATATTACATGTGGTCCCATTATTACAAATTTCCAGTTACTTTTTTGTATTCTCGTCGTTAATATAGTTGTAGGTACATTAAAATAATAGATGTTTTATTTATTAACTAAAGCACTTATATATAAAAAATTTCAATTTCAATTTAAAACTATTTTATTGAGCACAAGTAAGTCATAGAAGGGTTTTAATTTTTACTACTTTTTTCTAAAATCATGGAACATTGAAAATATACATTATTCTCATTTTTAAGTTCTTTAAGTACACCTTAAACTAAAGAATGTTTACTATATTATAATATATGGAATTGCTTTAAGAAGCTCGAAGATCAATTTTAATGGATATAAAAAGATTAATTTTTATTTAAAATTATAAACTGTTTGATGGCTTAATACTTAACATTTTCAACATTGAAGATGTTTGTACAGAACTTTTCTATACAAATTTACAAGACACTCGGCACTATTATTTGATATTTTCTTTTAATTTTTTTTTGCTTTCTTCGACTTTATCTTTATTCATTTTCAATATTTAATGGATACCAATGAATTGAGCTAATGGCCACATGAGTAGCACAAGAAAGCAGTGAGCAACATTGCGAATATACAAATTATGTTTAAAGTAAAAAACAACAAATTGGCAATAACAACGATGTTGTTTTCTGTATTACAAGAGTTAGCTAGTCAGTTAATCGGATAAGGTGAAGATGCAAACTATCTATTGCAAATAAAATAATTTAAATTAAAATTTTATAAGTTGTAATTTAACATCATTTTTAAGATGAAAGTGACTATTATATTTAATAGAAACTATTTTTATTAAAATTTTATTATATGATTATTATTATAGTATATATAAGAATAATGTTAGACGATTGGGTAATAAGAACATTTTAGATATTTGATTGAGGATTGTTGTTTTTTGGTGATATATACATTTGCCGCTAATGGTTCAGGTCTCTATCTTTTTGGATTTTAGCTTAGTTAAGAGAAGTTCAGATGTCGCATTACTTTCTAATTTAAAAATTTGAATAATGTCATTCATAATAATTTATTTTAAGAAATAAAGTATTATGCATAATCATGTTCGTAATATGACAGAATTTATATAAGAGTCACACAAAATAAACACTTGAGTGCGTTGAAATCAATTTCTATTCGATATATTCTATTAACCGTAAATATAGTAACTTTCTTCTTCTATATTTTTCTTATATATTTTGTTTAAGCCACCAAACAGTTTACAATTTTTTTTCTATTTCTAAAGGCAGTTTTGTCCGTAGGAATATTTAAAGTATTATGCAAAAAATAAATTTTTTTTAAAATTACCAACTATATGTAAAGTAAAATGTTTATAATTGTATCATCTGATTATTTGTAAATATATATTTTTATATATATATAAACATTTTCATACAAAATGCAGTGTATGAACTGCTTTTATTAGTCTTTAATAAAATTTTAGAGCTACGAAAAAGTAGCTGTTATATTTATGTTTATTATTTTGATTTAGCTGCTTCATAATCTGGAAGACCCAGAAATTCTATAAGGCTATATAAGTTTACATTTTAATTATATCATTTACTATTTATTAGACATTATAAATCAATGTAAATGAGTTCATAAGGCACAAGTTACAATCTATCATCATTTCAAATGCTATGTAAATGTTATACTTTTTGTTTTTGAATATAAAAGTTGTTAACATATAAATTTTAAATATATAAATAATAATCATCATAATCATTCGTACTATAATGTATATTGTATAAAATTGCTTATGTCTATTAAACTACGCGTATATAATTAAAATCTTCAAATCATGGAATAATTACAACTGTGTTGTAATTACCGATTTTCGTATTATTGTCGGTTCCTTGCCTTTCGGCGCAGTAACGACTTCGGAGGAAACTAACCAAGGTGAAACCATGTCATTGTTGGCCGGAATGTGAGTCTTGTGATTAGATAACTGTGAAAAGAAATAAAATCAATTATAAGATAATGAAAACATGGAGAACACATCTCTGCTTTTCATGCATCTTCATATTTTTGAAGTCAACAATCGATATAAAATTGAAAAACAATCTGTGAGTTATTCTAAATATATATTATGTACAATAAAAGATATTTCCCTAGCTTAAAAACGATTATATTAGTATAAAGAATATTTTTCACATCTGAAATAACTTTAAAATTTAAATATCATATCATATATATATACCACATCAGGTTCTATTTGTAGCACTCGACCTACATGGATTCTTGTTTTTAGGATTGTTAGTATTCTGTGCGGAATACTACTCAGCTTAATTTTGATTTTTTATTTCTTGATAGAATTCCATCCAGACCATATATATATAGGCTACAGGCAGGTAGCCAGATGGTTTCAGTCCCTCAAGTACTCCATTGCGATATGAATCAAAAGACTATATATATATACATATGTACATTAATTATTGTTTTAACAGGACTGTTATAAAAGATTATATTTTTTCAACTACTAGAATTATCTGAAAATCCCCAAGACTAAATTTCTGGCTATGAACTTGCTCATATTCAAAGTGTTAGATATCTCTTTTATTATTAAGTTTATATTTTTAAAATAAACTTAGCATAATTAATTGAACAATTACGTATGAAAAATAAATTTTTAAACAATTTATTACAATACAAAGTATCTCCAGCAGACGCTGGCTTGGTTCAGCTATTGGCGAGAATGATCCGTATATACATGTGAATATCAGATTTATGTACAAGTTTTTATTATTTATACGTAAAACCACAAAAAGAGGGATAAACAAAATATAAATTAATACTAATTAAATTATAATACCAAATCGGAAGACATAAAATCGAATAAACAAAGAACGAAACAATTATGAAGCAACAAAAAATGGAAACATAAAAACAAACCTTTTTTTCGCGATTTTTATCGTTCGTTTCATTAAGGATAATTTTTTGTTCCTTTTGCTGATCCAATTGCTTTTGTTGGCGTTCCTGTTCGTTCAAGGTGGAGAACAGAATTGTGCCGGCTGACGGTGTTGAGCGTATAGAATCGGCTTCTTCAGAGCGTTTCTCTTCGTTTTGCCTTTGTGAATTATTGTTATTGATGATATTGTTGATGAAAATCTCATTGATCAACATTTCAGCTGGCGAAGTCGTTGAGGTCACTGAACTGGGTGTACTGCTGCTGGTATATGAGGGTGAAGTGGATGATGTACTATTTGCAGAATGCATTGTGACCGAGTTATCATTTGCAGGAATGTTTAATTTTGCAGTGGATAAGTTGGGAGCGTTAACGGTTAATGTTGGATTCGAAATTTCGACAGGTAGGCTTGTATGTATGGATGTGTTGTTAAAACGTGATATTGGTGCAAGGTTGTTAGTATGTGCATTGAAGTCAGATATGAATGTGGCATTTGCAAATGGCGATGTGGGCGAAGAGGCCGTACTGCTGTTGTTTTTAGCGCCACTAAATAAACTGTTGCTAACAGTTGTTGTAGGCTTTTGTTCGATTATGCTAAGTGTAAGTTTGTCACCACCCTTTAACCATATGTGCATATATGTGTATACGATTTATGTCATTATTAATACATTAACAAAACAAAAACAAGTAATAAGTGGGACATGTAAAAACAAGCGATAAATACAGAAACAATAAAAACAAATCAATGTAAGTAATCAGATAGTTTTACACATGATATACATCAATCACTTACCACAGATATGTAAGTTGCATTTAGTGAATCTGGTCCATCGTTATGATGTACATTGGATATGCTATTGTTATTATTAACCGAAGTGGCAGCAGGCACAAACATTTGATTGGTGAGCTTAGCATTCGAGTTGGCACCAAGTTCCTCTTCAACGCGTGCTAAAAGATATAATAAGTTACGGTTATATATAGTTTTAGCGGATATTTACCTTTTAATAAATATTTACCTTTTAATATGTTGCACTTTATATGCCCAGGAGGCAAAATTCCACCGCCAACATTAGCCAATTTAACTTGGTTATTAGGTTTTTCAGCATTTGATAGTCGCTTTAAGGTTTCCGTGTTATGCTCCATATCAAAGGTTTTGTTTATAGTTAATCTATTGTTAGAAATATTCAATTCGTTAAATATTGTATTTTACATTGAATAAACATAAGAAACAAATCAACAAGGAATTTTAGATAACGTAGGATTCTTTTGTACTCTACCTGATACTGTTAGCGTCATTAATAGCTTCAGTCGCTAATATTGATGGGGATGGATCTTTAACAATGGATTTAAGTAATGAATCTAGCTCTTTATCTTTATCCGATAAGCCACTCTTAATGCTATACAGTGAAATATTTAAAAATTAGTACTGACAATTACTAAATAAAAATTATTAACAACAAATAAACAATACATACTAAAAACATTTAATGAACTACACTTGATATTTACAAATACAAAATCAGCAGTTATGAAGCCATTACTTATATTTACTAATACACTTCTTTAGGTGTTATTTTTGTCATATTGACGGTTAGCTCGACTTTTAAGTGTTATAATAATTGCTTGGCAATAAAAACAGAATTCATTCTTAAAGCAATGCACAGAATTTTGTTAATTAATGTAGATTTCCTGATAATAAATAATACATTTCTATTACAAACATTTTTACCTTAGTCCTGAGCTAATGGACGATTTTCCAAATGAACCATGATGGGTTGCATTGTTTTTAAATGGATTTGTTTCCTCAAAAGTTTTTATTATGTTAGGTGAACATTGATTTGTTGCATTGCTAGCGCCCAAACATTCGGGTTCCAATCTTAAAAAATAAAAAAGTAAGCTTGGCAACATGATATTTAATATTTTCTTAACTTACTTTACAGTCAGTCCTGCTTTACCGAATGACCCGATTTTGCTGTAACCAGGTTCTTCAGCACTTGAATATGATTTAATTGAATTACGTCCCAAAGAAGCGCACGTATTTGTTTGTGAACCGGAATTAATTGAATCGGCACATAAAGTATCCTCCGTGGATACTACCTGTGGAGTATTATTTTGCGCAACTGGAGTAGCTGCAACAACATTTATCACCGGCGTTGGAGCAGCTGTAACGAAATTTAATTCAAATTACTATAACACTATACACTTAAATTTCAATCTCACCTCTAACAGGTGTTGCTGCTGCTGGTGGTAATGGTGTAGGCTCTTGTGTGGCTCGTTGTCTTTCTCGAAGCAAATGTGATTGTCGACTGGCAAAACGTTGCGAAGGTCTTCGTTCAAATTGCACAGTACGACGTGCTCTACTCTGCTGTGTTGTTTGAAATTCAGTACGACCCGAATAACGAAATCGTGAACCCATTCTAAAGAAGTTTTGACGCGCTGAGGGACCCTTAACAGGTGCACGTAAACGGAAGAAAGTGTGATGCTCAACAGCACATTTCCATAAATGTTTGCAAGCCTTCTCATTATACAAACGAAACACAAAAGTGTGCTCTTGTTCTCGGCCTTCATCGTCGTCCTCAATAACAATAAGTGTTAGCTTTTTCTTTTTAAAATCTAATTTACTAATTTTAGGCCAAAAGAAAAGTCCAATTTTTTGATCACGTTCAAATACTAAAATTCCAGTTGGTGTTAGCCCCAAATGGTATTCACAGCCATCCTTACCCTAAAAATGTTTATATTAAAATATTTTTAAGCAGCAAATATGAAAAATATTACCAAAACAGTATGCATATCCACCCCGTACATGTCCAACCACTTAGCCTTATTTAGATATGCAGTTTCAGCTTGAGCTGGAGTTAAACCCCGGCAGGTTTTGTATTCTTCCAAAATTGCTATTTCCAACTCTTCCGTTTGATCCGGAACGAAACGAAATTCTGACACTGTAGCAGCACTATGAGTATGTTCGTCATAGTCACCAAGTTCAGCTATAAAAAATAAAAATTCGTCAATGTCACCCACATACATACATTCACATACAATCTGAAAACTACACTTACATTGCAAAGCTAGTGCGCACAATTCAGAGGATTTATCATCTGGACAATCCAGTCGGCCTTCCAATAAATCTTGCTTTAATTGCAGAAAAAATAAGTAACGTGTCAATTCTTCTCGCAATGTATTCGGTTCCGATGAATAGAACTTTACTTTTAAACGAAATGTGTAGGGCGGACCAACTAATGTAATTATTTAATATTAGTACTGTTTTTTTTTTAATAATGCAATTAACATACTTTTAACTTGCTTCTTAATGGGCTTTGTTGGATCAAGCCAATGTTTCACGTGATTTGCATCTGTGAATTGTAAGCCAAAGTAATCTTTTTCTATAATGTCCAAGGCGTAAAACACTTGTTCGTACAAAAAACTGCCCATTGCTTTTTTCTGTAAATTGAGTATTTTATAAATTTTAAAGTTTCTTATAAAAAATATGTGTTGATTTTATGTTTTGTACCGATAGTTCAATAGACAGATCTGTAGAATCTAGTAAAATTACGCGACAATCTATTTTGTTCTTGTTTGCCAAATACTGAGCGCCACCAGCTCCAGTTCCACCTCTCACATTTTCTTTGCGACGACTTAAAAAACGCAGCATTTTAACAAAATCTCATTAAAAAACCTTTGAACAAGTATAGCAATTATATTCGTTGTATATTTTTTATTTAAATTATTATAATTAAGATGTAAAAAGCCATGAAAATGTATAAGCCAACTACCAACAACGCACAGCAGGAAAGCAACTTTGAAGTGAAACTCAACTTCTCTACACCACTTCTACACACACACATTTACAATAGGTACCACGTTATTCGAGAGTGGTAGAAAAATACGGTAGAAAAATATTGTTTGGGAAATGAATAATACAATAGTTTTTGTATTTATTTTAAAGTTAAATTTATACGTTATTTAAAAAATTAAAATTTTGAATTCAATGCAAATTAAGAAAATATAACTTAAAAAATCACTAAGAAGATGTGAGTTTAAGACTCAAACACGCGTGCTGTTCATTCGGGACTTGAAATGCAAGAGAGATCAATTGAGAAGCCAGTTCAGTAAGTAAGCAAAAACTAGAAAGTAACGTTATTTTTTATACTTTAAGTCTCGTATGTAATATGCAAGGTTGACGAAAGTTAATGAAATAATAATTTAATAATATAAAAAAAAATGGATCAATATATCTCCCTATATCGTTTATTATACAATTAAATACTATTGTACAATTCGTACTTATCTAAATAGCTAACTTTTGTGATTAACTTAATTAAATATTATTCATTGTTACATATGTGACACATCCTTGTTGGCTTACAGTCCTAGATTCTATTTTGGCAACCCATATCAATTTTGCAAAATTTGTACTACTAAATACATCCCTGCATCTTATGCATCTAGCAAAAACAAATGAACTAACATTTTACCTGAATGAGGAAAACAAGAGATTAATTTTTATACTAAAGGAAAATAATTTTCTTGGAATTACATGCATTAATTTTAGTGCACTAAATCGTTGCTGTCCATTTAATTTTGTAAAACCAGGCATTTTGTTTGTTCTCGGCAGTGAAGTGAGAAAGAAGTCGAATTTGCGTTTCTCCAAAAACAAAACAAATATGAATTTAGTGGAAAAAAATGCATACGGCAATGGATTGCTGTATGCTGGATTTAATCAAGATCAAGGTATGTACATGTGTGCATTTTGCAAATGTGCTGAAATATATATTTAAATATACGCACATATGAAGATGATATATATTATTAAATTTGATTCTACATCTCATTTTATATTTATAATTAATCACTAGGCTGTTTTGCTTGTGGTACTTCTACTGGATTTCGTGTTTATAATTGCGACCCTTTAAAGGAAAAAGAACGACAATATTTTCCTGAAGGCGGTCTTAGCCATGTCGAGATGTTGTTTAGGTGTAATTATTTGGCATTGGTTGGTGGTGGCATACGTCCCTTGTATCCACCTAATAAGGTTATTGTATGGGACGATTTGAAGAAGGCACCAGCTATAAGTTTAGATTTTAATCAGCCCGTAAAATCTGTACGATTAAGGCGAGATCGTATAGTTGTTATATTGGAGGGTGTAATTAAAGTGTTTACATTTACACAATCACCGCAACAATTACATGTTTTTGAAACAAGTGCTAATCCAAATGGTCTTTGTGTTTTGAGTCCACACAGCAATAAAAGTTTGCTTGCATTCCCCGGCAGACGTACCGGTCACGTTCAGGTATTATATTTGCTTTTCAAATTATTTGTATGATATTATTTATTTTGGACTTCAGATTGTTGATTTGGGAAATACAGAACGAGCACCTCTGGAACTTATAGCCCATGAAGCTGCAATTAGTCAATTAACTTTCAATTTGCAAGGAACGCGCTTAGCAACGGCCAGTGAAAAAGGGACTTTAATACGAATTTTTGACACAGAGAATGGAAAAAAAGTATGTGAATTAAGAAGAGGCAGCAATCAGGTATAAAACGAAATATATTGATTTTTATATCAGACAAGTTACTTATTTTGCACTTAGGCAAATATTTACTGTATTAATTTTAACCATCCATCGACTATGTTGGTTGTATCTTCTGACCATGGAACTATTCATGTTTTTAATTTGGAGGATAATAAGCCAAAGGAATCATCCTTAATACCCAAGTACTTTTCGAGTCAATGGAGTTTTGTCAAGTTTTCTATACCACAGGGGCCTCCTTGCATTTGTGCTTTCGGTACTGACTCTAATTCTGTCATAGGTAAATTTAGACGATTTTTTATAAGCAATATATGTTCGGATGCTGATCTATTTATTTTCTTTGGATTTTAAAGCAATATGTGCAGATGGTCATTATTTTAAATTTATATTCAACCATAAAGGCGAATGCAGTCGAGATGTCTGCACACAATTTTTAGAACTTTCTGATGATCAAATGGATTGAGATTAACTATATATAAACTATGGATATTCATTATTGAACTAGCAATTAAGTAAGAAAGGTTTTCCATTGTGATGCGAGTTATGTTGCAAAGAACTTTGCGGCTTGGTTTTTTTAAAATAAAATTTATTTGAGCGTTTAGATTTATATATAATTATACAATATATGTATAGAAAATAATATATATTAAATTTGTCCTAAATAAAGATTAAATTTAAAGGAATAAAATTATATAAAACAGTTATGATTATAAAGGTCTTCAATGTTAATTAATAGTAATCGGTAGTTTTTCTATAGTCACTCATTTATTTGTAAAGGTAGAAATTACTAAGTTCGCTCTTGCTTGATGATTTATTTTTACTATTTAAATTCGGAATGTGTGGATTTCACTTTTTCTTTTTCTTGACTTCTTCACCATCGTTGACTTGTACACTGGGTTCCGGACGAGGTTTTTGCCAATTTAATGGACGCCTTCTATACATTGGCCATGGTGGTATAGTTACCTAAAATAAATACAGTTATGATTTTGATATTTATTATTCTATATCTGTTATTAACAGCCTTAATTACCAATGAAGCAAGTAAGAAGCCGGCTCCAAGTATATAAACGGTTTGTGAAAATTGTTGAATTATACCACCCCAAATCAGACCAACAATGCCAAAAAGTGCTATAATGAATCGTGATAGTTTTTCCGCCTTGTGCTGACCTTCATAATCCTTGAATATTTAAAAATAATACATTTTTTTTAAATCTATAGGTAAGTGCTACACATCGCAGTCATTTAAGTCTTGTTTGAAAAAATTTTAAAATGATCACTTCTGAAAATTTCTATATTGTTGAAGTTGCATTTTATATTATCTTACCATATGAGTTTGAATATTAAACATCTTATAAATGATTTAATTTAACTTCTCAAAACAAAACTCGCCACACGTCACCGATTTCTATATTCACGGTGTAATGTCTTAAAAAAGCGTAGTGTTTCGCCACTATTGTTTATATGTATAGAGATCTATCTCTTTCAAACACCTTCAATTGGGTATGAGAATTAGTTGCATACCCAAAGCTAGCTTTTATATTTTGTATTTGAAGTGTTGGAAAGTGTAAATTTAGTTAAGTACAAAATGTAAGGGATTCTTTTCAATTTTGATATAGCTATGAGAAATTTATTTTAAATCATGTTCTGACAGCCAAATTTCCTTAATTTCGTTATGACCTTAAAACTGAATTTTGTAAAGAAAATAAAAATTTCATTTTGCTGAAATAAAGATGAAATTAGGATTTTTGCGAAATTAAGGTGTGTTTGAACATAGAATGAGATGTGTCTGAACAAAGTATTAATCACGCATGTAATAATGAAAAAGTTTATCAAGAATTATTGATTAATAATTATCACATGTTCAAGAAAGTATTGTTATACTCTGACTATTATTAAAAAAAATTAAAATTAAAATTAATTAAAAATTATTATTTATGAATATCACTTTTAAAAATATTGCTTACGTTACCAAAAATATATTTTGTAAATAGTTTTTGAAGTTTCTGAATAATGTTTAATTTACTTACTTAAAATTTTGAGTTTTCACATTACTCAATAAATTGTTTATATATTGATATATTGATATATCAAACTAATTAATATTACAGCAAAAAAAAAATACAAATTAAATATAAAAAAATAATAACTATTAACGATATGATACAAGTATACCTAATTTATATATATTTAAAAAATATGAAATAATAATTATTTCATTTCTCTTATTTATACAGTTGATTTGTATTCAAATATTGTTATTAAATTAACAATTTACAGTTCAAACAATAAATGATAACAAAAAGTTTTTTATTTAAATTTTATATTTTTTAAAGCTTTAATTTGATTAATTTTAATTTAATTTAATTTTATAATTTTTGGAAATAAAAAAGAAAAAACTTTAAGTGATTATTATGATAAAATATCATTAGATTCCATTACTGAAAACATTAAAATCACATCACATCTGTTTAGATATTAATTAAAATATTTTCAAAATTAATTGTTCCAATTTATAAGCAAAGTATACTATACTGAAATGAAAATTGTACCACCTCTCGTGGTAAAAGTGGCACTGGATTGTTTATGAACTATCAGCGAAGGTTCCGATTTGACATGCATAAATTTTGTAGGGCAGAGAAGACGCCTGCTATTAGTTGTAAAAACGATCATATAAATTAAATTGAAAATAAATTAGTTGCTTAAGATTTGCAAAAGCGTCGAGATCAAAATTTTTATTGTGTGTAGTTTTATTTAAATTTGTACGTCTTTTGAAGCTATTGTAAATAGAAACTAAATACGAAAGTACATTCATTGTAGTGTCAATCTGTTAAGTTTATGTTTAACTTGTAGAAAACTTATGTTATAAATTACTAGATTGTTTCAGTTCAGTGCATTAAAAATTTACTATCGAAATTATTATCCCAATATGTAAAATTTGCAAAAATTTATTTTTAGAACCGAGCGTTCTGTTTGCCAATTTTGTGATTTGTACAAGGCAAGAAGGTCGTGCGCCACATTCTTCTCTAAGGAGTACATACCAGTGAGCAATTCAGTTGAATTGTGTCAAAAACGCCGATTAAATTCCCTTAACGTGTAAGTCTATGATCTACAAATTGTGTACAAAAACATTTATTGCACTGCTGTGATCTGTATTGTACAGAGATTGGTATCTGAATTATATTTATAGTGAGATATTGTTTATCTTGTAAACAGAAGAATAGACATTTTAATATTTCGTTAGATTATAAAAGCAATTTAATCCAGAAGTGTTGAGGAAAGTATTGTGCAACTGAATAATACAGCAATATATCTAACATTTATATTATTCTTGTAATTAGATTATATTTTGACTGACGTGTGTCTTCAGTAAAAATATTTTTCTGAATAAAAATGGATAATTGGAACGTTTTGGCAGCTCAGACTTCCTCATCAGCTATTGGTCGGGATGGATTAAACGTTATTTCAAAAGAGAATTTGGTAAGGATATATTAAGTTTTCCAAAAAATAAATATGTATGTATATCTGTAAAGCATATAGGATTAAATTCAGATGATTTACTTTATTTTAATAATAAAAGTCGCCACCTTAATGCAAAGTTGAACTTTTTGTTAGTTTGATTCAACGTATCAAAAATAAAAACTTAAACAAAAATTACTTGCTTCTCTCTTACTTGAGAGAATGAGAAATTAAATTGTGTAAAGGGAAAAGGCCTTTTGTAACAGATGAAACTGAAACCCATAGATTGACAAAACCGGAAACTTATAAACTAACGATTTTTAAAAGGAAAATTGTGTATATCAAATAGAAAATAATATCTCGTAAGATAAAATGATGAAATATAGATCATCAGTGCTTTGGGTTGAATATAAACGAATTAAAACTGCACTACATACCGAGACAGTGTCATGTTTGCTTTGTAAAAAAGTTCTCAATAGATTTTACCCTGAACTCTAGGTATAAATGGCGCCTTTTTCATGCAGTCCTGTTCTGCTGTCCTTGCCTAATTTACATCATAATATATCTATATAAGAAATATGTCAATTCCAGTTATGATCCCTGACCGCCATCTTTCTGTTTTCTTGTCTTAATCTACACATCGACTTAAGCCCTATAATTTTATAACTTCATTCATTTTCACAGGTTTTTTCTCTTCGATTTTGTCTAGTTTTGAATAACACCTTCATCCTACACATAACTTTTTCATCTTACACATTCAATTCCCTCTTCTATGATCTGACATCATCCACATCCCAATCTATCCCTGCATTGTGTAACTTGTATTTTCTGTTTTACAGGTGTCCGTGACAATAAAAACAAAAATTATAAAATATTTGAAGATACTAGAGTTCAATAAATATATAAGTAGAAACTCAAATAGACTAATCATATTATAAGAATGCCTGAATTATAATGTCTGAATAAGTTTTATCTAAGTTGAATATTTAAATCGAACGATGACTGTAAAACATAGTAAATGGAGAGGAATGAACATGACTTGAACAACTTTCAAAGAAGGAAGCAAGCAGGTCGGGTGGGTAGCTGAAAGCTATAGTTTTTCGAGATGCGCTCGGTATAATCACTTTCGTTAAGTTAAACGAGCAATGACAATTACTGTGAAGTTTTATTAAACCATTTTGTAACATTTTAATGGAAAAGTTAGGAATGCTTTTGACCAAATAAAAAGGACTGTTCCATCAACACGACTAAAAATGTGCGTAGATACCAAAACTGAGTTCTATATATCTCGTTATAGCTTCCTTGTTCATCCAGCATATTCGATAAATTATCACTGCGACTTTTTGTGTGTTTAAAATTGTAGAAATGGTTGGGAGAAAAGAGATATACTAATAGAGAATAACGAAACGCCGGCATAAAACCCCATGACCAAACACCATGTCAATATGTTCGTATTCATATATATAAATACACAGATAAAAAAGTAAAAATGTGCCCGTTACTAGCTTCAAAAACTGGAAAACATACAAAAGTGCAAGTTAATAGCCTTAGAAAGGCAAAATAATGATTCCAAAAATATGTTCCACAACAATCTTTATATAAACATTTTTGATGTTAAAAAGATTCCATTGTACTTGAATGTTTTTATGGGTATCTATAAACTATTATGGCTAAGAAAAAAAGGACGTTGTAGTATATATATCTACATCTTACAGCTTCTTAAAGACTTTTCAAAATTTATCAAGGAAGAAGCAGGGTGGTCATGGTTTATTGTCCCATATATGTATAGCTATAATTCACCTTATCTGAAAATTTGATATATTACAAAAATATAAATATATACTCTTTTAAAACCATTTATTTTGCTTTAGAGAGCATCTAAATGAGAGAGGAAAAATTTTGTTTAGATGCAAATTTTTCAAACAATTTTTTATATATCAAAATGCTAAACAAAAAATGTTGTTGTACAACAAATTCAAAGTAAACGAAGAAGTAAATCAGAATGAAAAAAGAATCTATGAGAAATATAGAAAACCTCAAAATCTAAAAATAAAAACATTTTTTCGTATCGCAAGTTTTTTGGAGATTTTTCAGTTGAACGTTAACATAACTCGGAATAGCATTTAAAGTGCGATCGATGAAAATTTTTCTATAGGAAAATTATTTTTAAATATATATTCTAATAAGTTTTTGAGGGTATATATATATAATATTAATAAAATTAAATGGTTGAGGATATTTAAAAATGGATTTATCAACTGATATTTGGGGTCAATTAGCAGTTGAGGCTTCGCAAGTTTATCTGTCGGATGGCACCGTTAGAAGTCCCTTTGCTGATACGGTACGGAATGATAACACAAATATTCCATAAATTTTGAAAAGTTAATATGTTATATAATCTAAAAATTTAATAAATCAAGACCCCTCGAATGGGTAAAATTATATAAAAATATTTATACTCTCCACCACCTACAAGTGATGAGAGTACGATTTTTACTCGGCCACAAAATAAATAAAATGTGAAAAATGTTTGGGTAATTGTGAAGAATAAAGAAGTGCAACGCTTGACAATAATAAATTGTTCAATGTGACATAAATCAGTATCGGAACCTTTGAGACTTTTACATTTCGAAATAAAATTATTGTAGCGTTCAACAAGGTAAATAACAACACACCCAGTACCAAAATTGTACGCAAGCAACAATGCACATTCTCAAACGATAAAGTAAATAAGTATACAACCAATTCTTCAATATTAGTAGTCTATTCTATCTCTGTTTTAGAAGAGTACATTCATAGAGATGGCATATTCACATATTCTAAGTTCTCCATATTGGAGTTATAACAGATTCAATTCAGTGAAAATAAGATTAGTTTTTTATAAAAACAGAAGTTTCTTGACTTAATCAGGTCAAAAAAATCTAATTTAACAATATAGTCACAGGTTGAAAATGATAGTCTTTATTCTAAAAAAAACCGTGCACTCGATTCTATTTACTTATATGATATACTTGATTTATATTGAGAAATGTTGTCACAATATATAATATGTATGTATATGTGGTATTAAACGTCTTCCGCGATAATCTATAAGACCATAGATATTTAATTTCCATACTCTTTAACTGCTTTTGTGTTCTAGTTGTAACAGTGAACTATAAATTATTTACGATATTATTTTGTTAAAGATAAGGTTACTAACTTTAGAAGCCTTGTCTATTAATAAAATTAAAAAAAAAATTAAATGGTACCAATAATCTAATAAAACTTTTAATACTTTAGTTTAAATAAATTGTATAATACGCAAGTGTATGCTAATGTGTAACATATACATATATATAAAATGATATTTTTTTCAGACAATCGAAAAACTTCCTGACAAGGTATTACTTCACATCTTTTCGTATCTATCACATCGTGAAATTTGCAGATTGGCGAGAATATGTCGGCGGTGGAGACAAATTGCGTATAGAACTGAACTATGGAAAAATGTATCATTGCGCCCGGAAGTATCTGGCTTACATGTCGGTTCACTAGAATCATTGCTGGCATTAGTGTCTGTACGATTTGGACCAACACTTCGTTATATTGAACTACCTATAGAATTGATTACACATACAGTTTTGCACGAATTGTCAGCAAAATGCCCCAATTTGACCCATATGCTATTAGATTTCTCGACTGGTATATACTAATTTGCACGTTATTTAATTAATTAAAATAATTTAAAGAATTCTTGGTTTTTAGCTATGCAACTGCACGATTTCAGCGAGATGCAGGCTTTTCCAACGAAACTGCGTTACATGTGTATTTGTCTATCCGAGGTTTGCAGATAGCATTATACTCATAATTCGTTTATTTATTGTCTTATGTTGATTTCTAGGTCATCTTTATGGAAGGTTTTATGCGAAAAATTTACAATTTCATTAATGGATTAGAGGTTCTACACTTGATCGGCACTTATGAAAAGTGTGAAGAAGAAGAGGAAGAAATTTACGAAGTAATCAATGTACACAAGCTCAAATCAGCTACTCCGAATTTACGTGTCATAAACCTATATGGTATTAACTTCATAGATGACTCGCATATTGATGCTTTCAGTTCGAATTGCATACAACTTGAGTGTTTGGCTGTCAATTTCTGCAATAAAGTAACTGGTTCAACTCTTAAGACGCTCATACAGCGTTCGAAACGCTTAACTTGTCTGCTTATGAACGGTACCAGTCTCAAATCAGAATATGTCATGCAAGCTGAGTGGGATAAGTGTGCTTTGCAGGAGTTGGATATCACCGCTACTGATTTATCCGCAGAATGTTTAATTGATATGCTGACAAGAATTCCAAATTTAAAGTTTTTGTCTGCGGGACAGAATAATGGTTTCAACGACTCAGTTTTAAAGCAATGGATGGAGTCAGGATTGACACGGTATTGTATTAATAAAATGTTTTTTTTCAAGTTTTTTTTTTATTTTTTATTAAATTCAAAGTTCGTTGATTTCCTTGGATTTGGATTCTTCAGATAATATTACGGATGAAACATTGCAAAAGTTTTTACATCGTCATGGCGCACAATTGATAAGTGTTTGCCTATCAGGTATGCCACATATTACTGATCAACTTTGGATGAGTATTTTGCCAGTGTTAACCAATGTCAAGTAAGTATACAAAGTTAGTACAGAGTTTTTATAGTTCCATCAATAATTCTTGAATTATTTAGAATTATTGTTATGGGAACATCAGAAAAATTAGGTGTCAATATACATGTTGATCAGTTAATGGACACAATCGCCTCTAATTGTGGTAATTTGGAACGCTTGGAATTAAGGTTAATTTATTCATTTTAAAATTAAAATTCCTTATAAACTAGAAATTTTTTTATATTTAGATGGGATCCCGATAATCTACGCTTTTCAGATAAAAGTCAAAAGGCCATTGATTTGTTACGAGTTAAATGTTTAAAGCTCCGTTGTATGGTTTTAAGGTAATTTAATTTGGGTTTTCTAAGGAATTATTTGTAGAAAGTATTTAACAGAAAATCAAGTCTCGTTATCCTTGAATTTAGATCTTTTGATATATATTTTCATTTCTAGAAAATATACTTGTAGTTATTGTAACATGTAACACTGTATTAGCAAAGCTTCGTAGGGAAGCTTTTATTTATAAAATGAAGTTTCAATGCGGTGTTTGCATCAATTATTTTCTTTCCTTTTCTTCCCATAAATTTGAGAATTTCAGCCGGTAATATATCAATTTATTTCTATGTTAAACTATTATCTATTTAACTACATCGATGGAATGCTCACAAATATAAACGTTCCTTTCGTATCACAAACGTGGACTGAAAGCCTTCCACAGAGATGCAGTATCCTCTTCGAGACCACAATTGCACAGCATTTAAGTTCTTAATATGCCTTCGCCTAATATATCTCTATCCTATTCCAATTAAAATCGGTGTATAGCTATGTGTTGAATAGAGACTTGTCACGCATATATACGACAATTCTCCACGCATGCCTTAACTGCACCTGAGCTACCGCCATGATGTCCCCATCTGCTACTATGTCTCAATGCAAATATCAATTTGAGTCCTGTTAATAATTGGTTCCGAACCATTGATGCCATGCAGGCTCTGAACCTCGATCAATGCAAGTTTTAATTGAATCCCACACTCATCTACTCCTTATCCTAAGCGACTCCTCTAATTCTCACTTACGCCTGCCTAATTCATTTCCTAACCCTTCTATTCGTATGTTGTTTTCTTTCATGTTTCCTGCAATGTACATCTACTCGAGCTGCAACACCGAACAACAATGCTCAGAAATTCAAGTAACACAAAAGTAATTCAATATCCATGGTTTAGATTGAATTTGTAGTGAATTGGCTTCATAATATATGGCAATTATATAATATTTTCTTAAAAGGGTTTGTTAAAAGTTATATTGGGTATGGAAAAGGTGATACACCAAAAGTAAAGCAATTAAGCAAGTACACTTGTTGCGATATTCAATGCTTTTTTTTGTTTTTGATTTTTATTTAAGAGATATTATGCCATTCCTATATTATTTTCACTCATCTCAATAAGAATGAATGAATGTATTAAAATTGAAGTTAAAATCGAATTTTTATACTTAGCTTTTATATAAAATATCCATAATTTTCTTCTTTGTGTAGTAAACTTGACGTCTTTGCGAGAGGAAAATATTAATTCAGATTATTTTGATTGAATTTTCAGTGATGGTCGCTATTATGAAACGGTGAAAGCCAACTTCGAGAGAGCTGATCGGATTACTGTGGTTCGAACTACGACTTGCTGTCGTGTCTCACCATATCACTTGTTAAGAAACTATAACGATTTAATATTCAATTAATTTTATTTAAATATTTACAATTTTGAACTAAAGCTTAAATTAAATAAAATATGTACTCTAATCATTCAAGATTAGATTTTATACTCAATTAGATTTTTGTATTGTTCTATTCAAAATTAACACATGTGATTCAAATTAGTACATGCTAAAATAGATAAATCTAACGAAGTTATACAATACATATATTATTAATAGTATACATTTGCTTTAGATTTCATCATAATCAGACTTCATAAATAAAAACTTTTCCCGTTTTAAAAACTTTGCTTTGAGGCGATAACTTTTCAAAAAATATATTTAAAAAATAAAACATTATAAAATAAGCGATTTTCATCAATATCTATGAATGTATGTATATGCACACAAATAAGTAAATATATTTACAAGTCACCCAATATTAAAAATAGTTTTCCTTAATTTATATTTAGCTATAGTTAAAATTTTGAAATATGCACGCCTGTTAAAAATTATTATTCGCAATTCTTTAAATTTCATTAGTCATTATCATCGTTATTATTTTTATCATAGCTAGCAAATCAATATTAGATATATTTACAAAAAGAAAAAAAGAAATATAAGAAGGTGGAGCTGCCTAATTGTAGATAAATGAGTGAGTAAAATTTCAATATAAAACGTATTAATTTTTAAATCAAAAAGAATTGCGTAGTGTAAAATTGATTTGTTTAGTTTGGAATCCGTGACCACAATTGTAGTAGTGTCTTCGCGTATCACGTACAGTTCAGTGACCAAGTTGATTGTTGTCGATCGCTAGTTTTACTACTTATATATATTTATTTGCTTTGGATGTGGAGAACTTTGCTTAAGATGTAATGTTGCTGTACAACTATGAACGAAAAATACACATTAATCCATAATTTAACTATAAACATAGCCTTAACATAGTTTATACACAAGTACGTTATGATTAAGTTTCCATTATATTTTTCAATCCCGCATAATCATGTCAGGTGATAATCGAAACCCATGCGGTGTATTGCTTGCAGCTACTGTTGCAACTGCTGCTGCTGTTGCTGATGTTGCTGATGTTGCCGCTGAAGTCGTAGATGGATCAGTGGAGAATTGAGCAACATTTACATTGGACTCAGTCGCTCTTTGGGTGTTATCCGTCTAATATAATGAAATAAAAATATTTAGTTGATATATGTATAAATAAAATAAAAGTTTATTTAATACATCTCGTGCTTCTGGTTGTGCTGCAGCATCGTTATTTTCAACGTCTGCGCTGTCTTCAGAATCGTCATTTTTCTCAGTGTACATCATGATTTCGTGGCACAATGGACAACGATCCTGCACATACAACCACTTTCGTAAGCAAACGCCGTGAAAGAAATGCCGACATCTCGTAATTTTGGCTGAAAACATTTCCTGTAATACACAAACAAAAAAAAGAAATAATTAATAAAGACTACTTAGCATTAAAAAGCCATATATAATCCATAAGTACTTCGAACACACATCTTATTGTATATAAATATGTATGTATAACCTGTTGTTAATCGAAATACATACGTTCACTTTAAAGAAGATGTAAGAATGTCAATGTTCATATAATTTTGATTTATTTCATATAAGGACTGTGATAAAATATTTTTAACAATCTTTAATTTTAAATTATATCATAAATTTAGTCTTTAATGATCATAGTCTTTTTTTAATATAAATATGCAATTATTGACTGTTTATAACTTGTGATCTCTTGAAATCTCTTGATCTTAAAATAATCTAGACACCTATTTCAGAATTACACAAGTAATATAATTTAATTTATAAGACATTTGTGTTTTATTATTTACCTGATAACAAATAGCACACACGTCATCAAAATCTCTTAACTGTGCCGGGCTTGCTTCTGGTAATGCTGATATCTTGTGTACTGCTGAACGTCTCTTCATAAAAACGGACCAACCAGCTCGAGCCTCGCACCATATATTGAAGTAAGCATGGATGCACATCATAATTGCCCTTATAGCGCCTCCTGTAGCATTTCGTGCTATCAAGTTATATTATACGATACTCATCAACCAAATAAAAAACATGCACACATAATTTTCGTTTCGAATAAGTACATACATACAGTTGTGTATAAATTTTTGAGGTGTAATGAAATCGATGGATATTGCTAAGTTGTAGTTAAAGGCATGACAAACTAATTTCATTACAATCAAAAACTTAAATGTTCGGAATCGCGAAAATTATGTTCCTAATGAATGTTGCTACCTTTACAAAATTAAATTTACAAATCTACCAACTACAATTAATACGAATATGATGTGTAAATCAACTAATGACAATAATCTCCAATAGTATTCTTACCAGACTCAAATATCAAAATCCAAGCACCATTAAAGAACAGCAAAATTCCAAAACAAAATTCAACAGAGTTTCCAAAAGCACGGACATAATAAAGATAATCGTCCAATTTTTCCCAAAATGTTTGACGGCGGGCATCAAGTAAGAATAATGTATATATCGCTAAAGACACGAGTACCTAATTACCAGTAAAAAATAGTTTAAACCACATATTTGGAAAGAATCCTAACATTTCTTACCTTAACAATAACTTCAACTGAAAATGCAGTGACAGCAAGCAGCCACGTAGAGGGCTCATGACGTGACCAAAGGTAAATAAGCAGACTAAGTGGTGCTGTTATTAGGAATGCACAGACAAGTAACGCACGTAAATGTCTTTTTCGTGATGGATTGCGTGCTGCGCTGAGAGACATCAATATTGGTGACACAATATTATGTAGGAAATGCAGTAAAGCAGTAACCAATAGACACAAGTTTCTGCAAAGACGAACAAAACGTTTTTCCGGTGGCAAGGAGGTTAATCCTGTTTGTAATGCTAGTATGTAAAATAGAACAGCAGATACCGTTCCGAGTGATTTTTCTTCATCAGCATCAAACGCAAGCAGAAACCATTGAAATGCCTTGCCCACATAATGACATAATACGGATATTATTGAAGTCATACCCAGTACCGCAGTCAATGTTTCACAGCCATCAACTAATAGCTTTTGCATAGTTGGCATAAAATTATCAGTTGTTAACCCATCAGACATAGCAATAGAAATAAATTGTTGTACAATTCTATAAGCAAAACATTATGCAAAACATAAGTACACAAATTTTTACATCTAATAAACTTACCTTATAGTCCAAAATACTCTCAGCACACTTGGCACATTAAGACGCTGCCACTCATTTTCTATTAGAGCAGATAAACCAAAATTCGATATAAAATTCATAGCATATTGATAGCCGTTGTATATAGTTTTGCCCGCTTCCATTGTACTGCCGAATAATACTATTTTACTTAGAACCATAGGTGCAGTCACAGCAACAACTTAAAGAAAAAGCGTTCATCGTTTGAATAAATAATATAGGTTTTATCAAACCTGGTAAGTAATGCGTAAATTTAGCAGGGAGTGGAAATATTGATAGTATAATTGGAATTGCATATATCAATGGCATGGCTCTTTGCAACAACTTGTACCTAGGTCCTAAATGTATGTAGGCAAATAACATTCCCATAAACCATTGAGCTACAAGATGTGGTATTAATGACATTACAGCACCGGTAGGATCTAGCAATCTGGTTGTATTAAAGGATGCGATGTCGATTATTACACAGGGACTACTTTGCAGAAGTTTTACAGTAGCCACATTTGACCAGTACGATAGAAAAGTTAAGCTCAGCGATATGACATACATGTATACCATTACTAAGTGTCGCGTCCACAGCATAAATACGCATGATGCAGCAAAAAATCCTATAAAGATATTTTATTTATTTCATTTGTACCCACACACCTGAACTTATATCGCCTTTTTATTAACGTATTAGAAAATGATCAAAGAAAACTTTGACCTTAAAATATGAAAGTCATGATTTGAGCTTCAAATATATATATAATTTGATATTTTTACTACGGTTTGATTTTGATGTACTAGACTAGAATATAATTTTTGGTACTTACCTAAAACACATATAATGAATTTAATTGATGTTAAAGCTAATATATCTGAGAAAGTATCCTCCTGAGCCAAATCATCCATCATGTCTGTAAAGGATCTGCTAAGCATACCTTCGCTCACAGCCGCATTGCTTGCATTGTTAACGGCTTGTGATAAAACTGTGTTTGTGGAATTTACTACAGATGAGCTGAATGTGGAAGATTCCACATTAATGACGTTGCTACTATTTGTGCCGTCAACGCTTGTCATATTATATCCTGGATAAAAACGCGTTGGTAGGCCCATGCCAATTTTAAGTATTTCGTCAATTATTAGTATGGGAGGTACACGCATCATTACATCCACGAGCCCCAGTACTTTGGTCCGAATTGACATTTTGTTTTTTTCTTTTTTCGAGAGTGGGGTAAAGAAATTATTCTTACTTTTTCAGAGCTATTTTGTAATTTAAGTTCAGTAAGTTCTTTAAATTGACTTTAAATTATGTTTCTTCAACAACTACATTATACACTTTCAATATTTTTAAAAATGAGGATCTTTGTGTATAAAACACAAAAATTTTCAATCCAAGTATTTAATTGCTGAAGCTCACAGCTGACATTACCATTATGTGTATGACAGGGTTGCTCTCCAAAAATTCATATTGCAATTTTAATATTGCACAGGTGTGATATACTTTCGCATTATTAAGACAATATGTTATTAAAATTATATGTACAAGTGTTTAGTAATGTTAATGTAAATGAAATTTAAGAGATGGAATTGTATTATTAACAGCTGGGAAACATATTAAAAATATTTAATTAAAAATATTATTCAAAAACTTTTATTTTTTTGTTTGTGAGTACTAATAGCCATAATTTTTTCTCTTAAAGTAGCAAAAAAATACTCGTAATTTTCGAAAAAAAACATGCGAAAAAAAAACAAAAATGGTTTTAAAATCATCAGAGTTAGGTTTTAGTCACAAATAAAATTTAAGACTAAAGTTTTAGTACGATCAAATTCAAAAACCAGTCTATTGTGAATGTTCACTGAAAATATGTTTCAATATACTGTACACAACACAACATAAGTCAAACAACAGCATTCAATATATTTTAAAAATGCTGCCAACTTTCTACCAAACTTTATATTAAGGGTATTCAGGCAACTGATTAGTTGCTTAGTTGATGTTAATCAGTTGCTTGAACGACCTAAAATGCGTAATCTGATTAGTTTGTTGTGTACAAATGCCTTGGCAGCACTCGTATCAACAGCAAAAGCGAAACATATGTTAACAGTGAAATACTCATATATTCGTAAATTTTAATATCATTTAAATTTATCATATAATTTATCATATAACTAAAATTGCAAACGTGACATATATCAAGAAGTAGAATATTCAATTTTATACTTTTTAATTACATTTTATCCCTTTAAAAATTATAGTTTTACTGAATTTTATTTATTAATTATGTTATTATTTTTGCATTTTTTTTTGAGACACCCTATGTTCATAGCGCCGACACTTGGTACTGGCAGCACTATTAATCAAATTTTCACTAATCTGAGAATCTCCAAAATAGTAGATTCTCTGCTTAGTTTCTTTTTTGTATGCAAATTTTAGTTGTAATCAACTACTAAGCAACTAATCAGTTGCCTGAATACCCCTAATTATTTTTTAAATAAAAATATTAAAATGCAAAAATTTAAAGAATTAAATTAGAATGAATTTTAGTTTTAAGAATTAAAAAAAGAAATTATATTTAATTCGAATAAAATTAAATTATTGCAAAATTATTTGATTTTACAAAAACAATTCCTTTCCTTATGAATCCGCCCTTGATTTGCAAGACAATATTCAAGACTATATTTTCAACATCAATTACCTCTTGCATATTTGATTTTCAAGACTTTATTGTGAATAATAGTACTTTTTTTACTGTTTGTTGGGCAATACTTAAGTGAAACAGTCAAGTTTTGTTTGATTTTGCAGTTTTGTGACTTTGTGCAATTGTTTGATTTTATATTTATTTTACATCCAACAATGTCGGACAATGTCAATATATTTTGTTTTTCATTTTTTCTTGGCATTGTTAAAATATCGAATCTGAGTTATATCTTACACGTAAATAAATACGTGAACAAAAATCAGCTGTTCTAAATATTTTTAAGACAAATATGCACAAAGTTTATTCACGTTTATTTGAGTTTGCAATGATACACATTCAACGATGCACAGACATCCTGAATACCCCTATAACGAATTAATGAAATAAATAACATGTTGCTGCTATCATCATCTCAATTTCTTCAGCTTCGATTATTGTTTTGCAATCAGTACTTGCTCCGTCTGAAGAAAATAAATCAGAATGAAGTATACATATGTTACCTTGTTTCAAAGTGTATAGCAAAGCGCATACTTGGTGTGCAGATATGTAGCATCGTCTTTATCATGCTTTAGTGAAAAATACATTCACACTAGCTAAAATCATTGAAATTTTCACTATATAATATTTCTATCTGTTATACGGCGTTTACATTGGCCGAAAATGGCTCATTTTGAATGAGCCATTTGAAAGTGTTTACATTCGTTCTATTTCATTTGTTCTCATTTCAACAGCTGATTTTTCAACTTGCATGTTGATTTGATTTTTGGCCTGTGCCAAAAAAATGTTGCATGAAGGTTAAATATGCCTTCAAACCTTACATTAGAAACTTAAAACATATTTTTAACTTCGATTAATTACTTTTTGGGAAGTAAAAGTTCTAAAAAAGCAGTGGCATCGTTTTCAAGAAAATGCAACCACCAAACATTTGTTTACCTTTTTTTGTAAATATGTTAAAAACAGCTTTTTCAAACTGTCAAAATGCCATGAAGAGCTTTCATTTAGGGTATGTTCAATGGATTCCTTTGCATTTGGAACGTATGTGGAATGCATTCGAACGTCATTCATACAGAATGTGAGAAAATTGCTCATTTTTGTGCTTGAAATTTTATATGCAAGAATGAGCCATTCGATACTCATATTCGATTTTTCACCAAAATGAGCCATTTTCGGCCAATGTAAACGCCGTATTAGTAAGTTTTATATATATATTTCTTCAATATTTTGTATTGAAAATAGATTCGAAATATACAAGTAATGAATAATAAATTTAGAACTAAATTTTACTTTTAAAACAAATATTTTATATATAATATTAAATTTTATATATATATAATTTGTATATTATAAATTTTACAATTAATTACATTTCACATATGTATGTCAAAGTATTAGTCATTTACATGCTTTTTATATATTTCTGCTCCTTTTAGAATACAAAGCAACACTTTTTTAAAAAAATTATCGAACGGTTAACAGTTACGGTAGTTGTTTAAATTGCACTAATTATTGTGTTTTGTTTTATGTATAAGTTAATTTGTTAGTGAATGTTTAAATTAAATTAATTAAATAAAAAAGATAAATAATAAGATAAAATAAAAAAATAAATTGACCTAGTTGCGGTTTATATACCCCAAAAAAAATTTTGGTGAAAATTATTATTTTGTTATTCAATGAGTAAGTAAATTTACAATTATAAAATTGATAATAATAATAATAAATTTACAAATAATACTAAATAAGCTAATTTTTTTTTTTAGCAACCCATTAATGATCAAAATGGTAAAAGACAAATCGACTTCTTTAAACATAATGCAACCCAAAAGGACGTGAAAGCCTACAAAAAAACTTACATGCTTGGGTATGGTTTCGAAAAATTAAGTGGGATAAAACAACAATATATTGTTCAGCCGCGATATGGTAGTGATATAGAACAACATATTAAAGTGAATGGAGGTAGATTACCAGAAGACACAATATATCGCATTGCTTTACAAATGCTTGATGTATATCAATTTGTACATAGATATGGTTACGTACACGGGAATCTAAAAGCCTCTAAAATATTATTAGGAGTAGGTGTAAATCGTAATTTGCAAACTTATTTGCTAAACTATGGTTTAGCATTTCGATTCGCTACGACAGAGTTTAAACCAGATCCCAGAAAAAGGCATAATGGCACTATTGAATACATATCTTGCGATGGTCATAAATTAATTTCAGCGATAACAAAAATAATACAAAATCTTTTAATTTTGAGTTTGATCTCGACGGTGACGTTGACGAATCCGTCGAGATGAGGCACACGAGAAAAAATAATATAAATAATTAATCTAATGTGTTGAAAACTTTTTATTAAAATAGCCAGTTCAATGTATTCAAAGTAATTTCTGTTATAAATTATTTATGTTTCAAAATCAAAATAGTACAAAACATATTAAATTATTCTATATACTATTTAATGAATTTGTTCTTCAATTAATTTCCATTTTGTATAAATAAATATTTAAAAAATTAGCTAATTGTTTACTGTGAAACTCGTGGTTGACGTAGTGTGTATTCAAGCACCGATAAAATCATTTGGCTCTTCGGTTCAAAATTGCAAATGTTAATGACCGAAGTTGAAAGAAAATAAAGTTCATATTTTATGGAAACGAGTATTTTCTGTAAATAAAAAAAAAGTTTTGAAATGAAATTATTTTAAAATACATGTCATAGAAATAAAATAAAAAATGAAAAAAAGAACTTAACTTCCTAAGACGATTTAAAAGTCTTATATTCATATAACCGAATTTGTTGCAAGCCCCTTTTAGCTTTAGCGTTAATAGAAGTAACCTTGTTTTGAATATATGTTCATATAAGTTTTATAATATACGATTTAAAGATGCTTTAACTAACTAGTTTGTTCGAAAATGTGTTCACATAGAAATACAGGAAGAAAGACATATAGATAGACATCGCAAAACTGATTTCTATTATATACCCTACAATGTCGTTTTTACTGCTTCATCAAAATTTTGAGTGCATATGATTGGACGTATTAAATGCTGTATAGTATGTAAGTAAATAGTATGAAATGTTTATATAAAACTGTATAAAATATTCAAATGTTTCTGAAGCGTCTTGATAATATTACCGCCATTTAGATAAAATGGAAAGCACATATATGATAAATAAATTTTAATAAACTTATTTCAGGAATACACATACATTTTAATTGAAGTCAAACGAAATTCTCTTAATTCTATCCTTTACAGTGGACCAGCAACCATTTTCATTGTATTGATTTTCAGACGAAAAAAGAGATTCAAGAATTTTTATGACCATAAAAAGCGCACAACAATTGCCAATTAAAATTTTTTCAGCAAAAATCGAACAAAAAAGGGTTTCTGTGTTCGACTTAATTAATTGCTTTGCTCACGTTTTTTCGCGCAAAATGTTAATCGCAGTAGCTTCAATTCCAAGCTAACAGTTACAGCCACAGATACAGATAGAGACAACCAACAGGCATTGCCACTGGTACTGGCACTGGCACTGGCACTAGCACTAGCACTAGCACTGGTACTGGAACCAGCAGCGATGCAGGTTACACAGATAGGCGTGCATTTAGTGTTGCAATAAAGTTGTTAGTTGTAAGCAATTTCTTGAGCAAGCACCAATACGAATTGATTTTTATGTGGAATAAAAAATAATATATTTTTTGTTTTATTTCTTGGAAAAATGTTTCTCAGTTATTCAGTTTTGAATAATCCATCGTTATAAATAACGGCAAGTAACCCAATAAAGAGATTAATTTACTTTGGTCGACGTTTTATTACGAGTAATAATGAGAGAGTAATTAAATGCTCATATAATAGAATTTAAAAGCTTTCAACCTGGACTTATCCTTCTAGTCCAGTTAGTACAACTAAAGACATTAACATTGTATTTAATACATTTATAAAATAATAATCAGTTGATTGAAAATAAGATCATTTAAATAGTGTCACGGCAAGGTATGAGTAATGATGTGAAGTCCCATATTTACATAGTTGAAGTGATTGTGATGAAAGTGGCATTATATCTGCTCCGGCACCTCTGCTCACGAAGGTGTTCATTGATATGTAGTTTCTCGAAGTTGGAAATTGCAAAAAAATAACACACTTTTCATAATTTACTACAATCATAGTTTTGAAGTTTAAATAAAATAAATCACATTAGTTATAATTAATAGATACTATGGGGTTATATGTGCAGCGATCAGAATAGATCTATTTAGCATGGTGGTATAGCATTTACAAAGACTGAACTTTGAGCTTTTAAAGTCCATTGTCTTCTTGAAGCGAAAAAAATAAGAGTAAAATACATAAAAATTAAAAGATTGTATGAGTAAGAATACAAGTATTATTTATAGTTGGATTAGAAGAAATAACAATATAGGGTAAGAATGTATGTATATTTTTTGGCGTTACCCTAAAGCTTGTAGTTATTGCGACGTACACTATTTTAAAATGTTCCTTCTGATAACTCAAAACTGATCTTGAAATAGTCTATGAAACATTGCTACAATGCTTGAAAGCAGCGTCACTAGTGCTACTATGAGACAGGCTCTATAAGCAAGGGAATTACTTAAGGCACACTACAGGGAGGACTCTTGGGTGTCCATAGTTAATGATATTTTAAGGATGTTTAGAGGAAAAATTCTAAGGAAGATTGTTACCTACGTTCATAGTACAGTTTCTTTAATCTCAGCCAAATTAGTATCAATGATTAGTGAACTCATGGAATTGTTACTTGGTGAAATTTGAGAGTAGGCCAAGAGTAATAATTTAGAGATAAATCTTACTGAGACAGAATTCTCAGTAAAATCTCAAATTAATTAAATTGATGTGTGTAAACACGGTTTCGGAAGATCACAGTTTTTGTGGTCGGTGAAGTCGTTATTTAATTGAGGGAAAACTTTAGAAATATAAACGCTTATTGATAAAAGTACAATTAGAAGTTCAGAAAGTCCTCTAGTTTAAGCAAATTCAAACAGCAGCTTGGAGCATATCCATATAGACCTATTTCAATTTTACCAACCACTTCGAAGTTCTTCGAAAAGCTATCCTACAAGAGTCTAATGAATATAATAGAATCCGTAAAGCTAATACCAAACTATCAATTTGGTTTTCGTGGCAATCATTCGATTATAGATCAGGTACACCGCATTGTAGATGAAAGTGAAAGGGCTATTGAAGGTAAAAAGTGTGTTCTGTTGTATTCTTTGATATCGCACAGGCTTTTGCCAAAGTCTGGCACAAAGGTCTTCTGAATAAAATAGAAATATTTTGCCGTCGACATATTTTACGATTTTGAAATCTCACATTACCACGAGGTTTTTTTATAGGACACGAAAACTGTTACTTCAATCTGTCTGCGATTAAAGCTGATGTACCACTACTATACCTCCTTTATATTATGGACTTGACAATAACACCTGAAAGTAAAATTGCTGACTCCGCTGAAGAATCATTAGCCAAATTACAAACAAGTACAAACTCGTTAGTCAATTGGACAAAAAGATAGCGTATCAAACTGAATTCTACTAAATCTGTTCATGTTGATTTTACAAATAAAAAAATATAATACTTTCCTATTTCGATCCAAGGTACTCAGATACCATATGTCAACACTGCAAAATATCTTGGCATATTGTTGGACGCAAAACTTCCATGGAAGGGAAACATAAAAAAGAAACGAGATGAGCTTGATATAAAGTTGAGACAAATAGAATGGCTGATCGGTCACAAAACCACACTATCTATGCAAAACAAGATTTTATTATATAATCAAAATAATCCAACGTTTCTGGAACAAGGTTCTACAAAACATTTTAAAAGCGCCATGGTTCATAAGGAACAGCGATATATACCGCAATCTAAAATTGTCCGCAATCGTTGAAATCAACATATCACAAACTGAGGTTGCACCAAGATGTAACCGCAGAAGCTGTTAAGAACATAAACTCATATGGGCAACCAAGACGACTAAAACGGCGAAATGTCGCTGATATGGCATCGAATTAGAACTTGGAGTAATTTGTTTAGAAAATTGCTATTTATGTAGTTATATTATTAATCAGATACAAGCTACTCGGTGTTTATAATGTAAATAGTCGTAGTAATAAAAAAAAGAAAACAAAACAAAAATTTCGATTTATGTAAACTATATCCATTTCAATCATAAACCTTAATACCTCCATTATCCCCTTTACAACCGCGGCTTTCGTGACCGTGGTCAGAGAGTTTATTGCTACTCATGCCACCGCGCTTGCGCTATAACCCCGCCTAATTACCCAATTCCCGATCATCTTACCCTACGCATATGCTTTCTGGGTTAAATAAACCCAGTCCATTAGGTATAAAGCTTATCTGCTTACAAAAAAAAAAAATACAGTTAAGCAAATAGCTATTATATTTCTTAATAATATTACTTATCTACAGTACGAAACAATGACACTTTTGGGATCCGCATAAGGCTGGGGCTGGCTATAAAAAGTGATTGTACTCATTTTTAGATGATGTAGTATCTCTAACGATAATTAATTGAATTTAACTGGGGTTCAAGTCGAATTGCACAGAGTTTCACATGCCCATCCAAAAATCAGTTCTTCCAATGCAACTTTTATAAGGTTCGTCTGAACATATCGCACCACTCGGAAAATTTTATTTATAATCAGCTGAAGACGCGAGAAGGTATCTGCAGTAAATTTAGGTTTTAATCAATTAAGAAAATACTCTTTACAGTATACTCGTAAAGAAATAATTATTTGTTTTCAGATATTATTATTACTAAATAAATATTATGAAGGAGATAGCGAATACAATAGAATTTAACACGTTACATTTATTTCATTCATACTTATGTAGAAATTGCGACTGGCAATTATTTTTTATTTTATTTTTATTGATGTATAATGAATTTGATATCCTTCAATCTCCTATCCAATTATCTTTTGCATTCTACTAAATCCAGAAGAATAATTAGGTACTTGATTGACATGTGGGATAAGAAGCGACGTACGTTTACGGAATGCAGTAGCAAGTTATGGATCGGCTACCGTTCTGCTGTTCGTTGGCTGCCTGAAAGCTGATGCTGATTCACAAAATTCGAAGAGCGGAAGCGAAAAGCGAAGGATGTGTTTGGTACGCACGATCGTTTTGGATTTCGATAGTGATTTTGTTGAAATTGATTTCATTTTATTTTGTTTGTGTCCATTTTGTTTTATTTTATGCAACTTTAATCCGCCTTGTGCTACTCTGATGCCAAGCGAGATACGTTTGCGTACGGATACGGCTATCGGGCTATCTTATTTGCCTGGTCAGTTAAAGACAGACAGTTAATAAAGGCCGTAGCCACTAAGATTGTATATTAAATTACTGTATGTTTCATATGATGA